TTTACAGAGATGGAAAAGCTGCAAAGGTCAGCTCTTGACAAGCTAGCTAGTCTTTGGCACCTACAGTTTTTATCTGGGTAGAGCAAGAAGACTCCACTATCTGACTGGTAGCACCAGTACAGGACAGTACCGTACAATAATGGAGTAACAGTGATGGCACAAAGAACCAGCTAACTGCACTAGACGAGAGAGAGGAAAGGTGGATTTTGATGGGTAAGTAGCAATTAAAAGGCTGACAACAGGGAATTCCAAACTAAATATGCAAGAACAGGTTGCTGATAGGCACATTAGAAAAGCTATCAATCACTTTTAAAGCCATTATTGTTTCCTGCTACTCCTTTCCTCTGGGCGCTGCCAGGTGTCTGAGTGACACTGATGGAATGTCTTAGGCGGAGTATGAAAGAATTGCTGAGGAAGTTAAGCTAATACCCAGCCAGCATAAGATGAGACACCACTCACCTACAGCCACATCAAGCAAGCGACAGGGCTAACAGTTAAATGGAGAGAAAACAGGGATGCCCAAACTCCAAAGTAAGGCCAAGTGGGGTCCCCTGGAATCAGCTGAAAGACATGAGCAACAACATCAACAATGTCAGAGCTAAAGGAAAGACATGGGCCATAAAAGACTGGATTTTATTGCCAGCTACACATAATGCCTTGTTTTCCTAAGACTGTAGAGATGTGGCTCTAATGGAAATGAGTACTGATCCTCCTTCAGTATATTTTATCTGAAATCAATCAAAAGCCCATTTATCACTTTAAAAATAATTTAACTAGGAGTTGTGGTGCACATCTTTAATCCCAGCATTTGGGAGGCGGAGGCAGATACAGGCAGATCACTTGTAAATTTGAGGCCAGTCATAGCTATATATTGAGAGTACATATAGTGGTGATGATTATGGCAATAATAGTGGTGATGAAGATAATGTTCAGGAAGTACCTGTACAACTTAAGGAGCCTGTTGGTATAATGTTTTTGTGGAATGTACAGTTTACCCTGTTCATTCAAATGCTGATTTCTCTACCCCACTATCTGGTTTCAATCCAGACATTGTTATGTTTATTCTAAGCATCCCCTGTCTCAAGTTTGTGTAAACATGCCACCATTTGTACTCTGTATTGTCAATAAAACAACTCGCCCAATGCTGAGCAATGGAGAGAAAAGGGTGGGACATCCTGGTCTGGAGGAGAGGAGAAAGAAGCAAATGGGAGGAGTAGGAGAGCAGAGAGTGGCAGGAAAGGATTTGGAACCAGGAGGGGAGATGAACTGGACCTAAGATATGACTAAAGGAAAGTATAATGTGGGAAATCTGAATGGGAGGAAACCATGCGGGCGTGGAGGTTTAGGATGGAGTAACTATTTTCCAGCATTGTGCTCTAGGTTAATTAAATAAATTCTAGTTTCTGTGTGGTGATTTGTGTATACAGCTGGTTTAGGAATAACCACTGTTTAACTAAAAGATAAATTGATACTAAACATTAATATTTAACAACAGGAACCAATGAACTACAGTGACACATACAGCACTCTTCCTACACACAATAAATTGTACTCTCTCTCTCTTCAAATAAGTCTTGTTATAGTCATTTCGTCCTACCTTGCTCAGCAATGACAATCTTCCCTCTGTAGCATTTTCCCCATGTATCTTCTTCTAAACTTCCATGTTATCTAGCATGGGATGGAGCTGGCTTGGTAGAGCATTTACTTGGCATGTATAAAGTCCTGGGATTAACCCCCAGCACTTAAGCCAGGCATGGTGGCAACACGGTTCTAATGTCAGCATCTGGGAGGTGGAGGCAGAAGGACCAGAAGCTCAAGGTCATCAGCTTCATAGATTTGAGGTCAGTTTAGGATGAATGAGCACCCCACCCAAACAAATATAATTATATACTTACCTGACAGAGGAGGTGCTACAATCATGAAGATTGTTTTCCCAGGGGGAGGCTTGTCCACTGCATTCCAGATGTGCTGACACTAGCAATTTCCCCATATGTGGGAAACTAAACTGTGTCATTCATGGTGGTGGTAGATTGCATTCCCATTGTCCTTTGAAATATAAAGAATGTAATCTACTTATTTTAACTTCTACCCCAATGTCAACAGAAAAGTGCATTTTGCTTGTGGCTAAAATATCCACATAACCACTATATTGTCATTTTTCAAATTTAAAAACACATTTTTCAGGAGATATTTTATTACAAGTGAAGAAAAAAGAGCATATCAGAACAAAGCACGGTAGCTCCTTTATTCCCCAGAAGGATGGGAAGCACATGGCGATTCTTGGCTTACATGGCCAGTTCTGAGGCAAGCACTTCTACCCACTGGTCCATTTTGCAGCCATTCATACTCTTTATCTATCTCAGTCCTTGGCTTCTTTGCTTCTTTTACTTGCATGAAACTCCTTTGATAAAATTCTAAAACTTACTGTTTCCCACAAGAGCTAATTTTCTTTGGGGGTCCATTTAACAAAACATAATGAATTTTTTTCCAGTGAACCTTGATATTCAAACTATGCAGAAATTGTTATCATCAAGCATAAAAGTATCCAGGGAAATAAAGGGGGGGGGGGGAAAGGCAACTTGTTTCATCATCACAACCATCTTATAAAGGGTTAAAAGCCTCAGGATGTCAAACTCCTTCACTAGGAGAGAGCAACATAGTGATTTCTGGCATGTGATGAATCTCAAGGAGTCAGCTTCTTGTTATCATAATGGGGTATGTCCCATGGTGATGCTACAATTACTGCTAATAGAAAAAGGGGGGTAGGTTGGGCACTAGCACCAATGTGAACTCTTATGGAAATACTGGATGTCTTTCCTGTGACCAGGCATTACACCACCATCCTAGAGCACACTTATGAGTAGACTCCTAGGGCACACTTATGATCTACATGTGATGATCTAGTCTAAACTTCATGTTTTGTGACAGGAAATTTGGTACTTGGACAGATTCAGAATCCAGTAAAAACTCATCTTTAATGGTACATATTTGTTATCTCAGCACTGGGAGGCAGGAAGATTTGTAAATTCCAGGCTAGCCTAGGCTACATAACAAGATGCTAAGAAAAAAAATTACAAGAGCTAGAGAAGCAGCTCAGCATTTAAGAGTGCTTGCTGTTTTGCAGAGGACTAAGTTTAGTTCCCAACACCTAGGTAGGGCAGTCTGTAATTCTAGTCTGGGACATCCAACTACTTTTTCTGGTCTCTACTGGCACACATACATATAACTCAAAATACCAAAATCTTAAAATCCAAGAAGTCTTGAAAGTAAGAAATCCTTTTTATGATAGCAATAGTTTTAATTAGTATTTATTGTATAGATGCCCAGGGTACACATTTGATTATCCCTTCCTTTTTGTTGAGGAGCTAGGGGTTACTTTGTAACATGGTTGAAGGTCAAAACATGTTCCTAGAAAGGAGAGAAGAACCTCCCCTATCAGTGGACTTGGGGAGTGGCATGCATGCAGAAAGGGGAGGGAGGGTGGGATCGGGAGGGGAGGAGGGAGGGGCTTATGGGGGGATACAAAATGAATAAAGTTTAATTAATAAAAAATTAAAAAAATGTTGCTAATCTGTATGTAGATGAAGCTGAAAAGTACTATTTTCCTGATTTCCTTTAAAAAAAAAAATATCACTGTAAGCCGGGCCATGGTGGTGCACACCTTTGATCTCAGCATTTGGGAGGCAGGGGCAGTCAGATCTCTGTGAATTCGAGGGCAGAATGGTCAATAGAGTTCCAGGACAACTAAGGCTACACAGAGAAACCCTGTCTCGAGAAACCAAAAAACTTACCACTTCGAGCCCTTGCATGCTAAGCAAGCATGAGTTGAGCCACCAATCCTAAATATATATATATATATATATATATAGATAGATAGATAGATAGATAGATAGATAGATAGATAGATATAAGATTCCTTTGCATAGATTTGGCTGTCCCGAACTCAACTTTGTAGACCAGGCTGGCCTTGAACTCAAAGAGATCCACCTGCCTCTGCCTCCTCAAGTGCTGGGATTATAGGCATGCGCCATCACGCCTGGCCTAAAAATATTTTTAATTGGCATCTAGGAAGACTGGAAATTTCTCAAGTTGGTCTGTGAATATTACAGCTTTTAACTAGAAATGAAAGGCAAAGCTCAAAGCTATCCACTTAATGGAGAATGGAAAGTAGTTTACTAAATTGCCAGGATGTACACTGGGAGAGAACCCATCTCTTTAATAGTTACGGAGTGTTTTACTTGAATAGCTTTACTTTCTCCATCCTATTTTCAATATAAACGACTGATATGAAAGAATTGAATGTAAATGTTCTGAACCCGAAAGATGTTTTACTGAATTAAAATTTTCATCTTTGAGTACACACACCTCTATTATCTACAGAACTGTGTGTGGACAAACACAGGAGAAAAGGTACTCCGACTGGTGGGAGTAAGTGATGGAGTTGCCCTTATGAAAGCCTTTCCTATAAAAAGGGAAGTTGGCAGGCGTTGCGCTTTGCGCCATTAATCTCAGCACCGAGGAAGCAAAGGTAGAGAACTGCGCGGGATTAAGGGCAGGCCCAGCCTGGGCTAGATAAACTATCAAGCCACAGACTTAACCTTTCCCTATCTTTCTACTCCCCAAAATAGAGTGGAAAAGAGGGATGAGACTAGGAGAGTACTGGAAATTGGAAAACAAAACAAAACCGCAACGTGGAAGTGTTACTCGTGAAAAGTACTGTAGGCCGCCCGTTCGCGTGTGCCCGGGCTAGTTTCTGGCAGCACCTGTCACTTGGGTTCCTGCCCTATCTGCCCTTACAGAAGAACAAACCTTCGAAGGTCGAGCTATGGAAATATTTTGCTTCTCTAGAGAGGCAAATAAAAACAGATATCCCTTGACAATTAGATAAGAGGGAAACACTTCAACCTGTCTTCAACATAACACGGCGCTTTTCCGTTTCCCCGCGACCGTTCTTCCGTCGTTCAAGGCAAGGGCGGTTACGTCACAAGTTGGCGCCGGAAGTTAGCGAGGCAGCGCCGGTAGTGCGTCTGCTTCTGAGGATCTGAGTTTTTTGCGTGTACCGAGAAGGGTGTCTTTGAGCTGCGGAGGTAAGGGATCGGCGGCGGATGATTTTGGAACAAAATTTGGGGCAAAACCGAGAGACACTTGTCTTTAAAAAAAAACCCTGGGCGGCCGGGAGAGGTGGCACATGCCTGCCATTTGAGCGCTGGGGTAGCAGGCGCAGAGGTCTGCCAACTAAACTGCAAAGTGAAGACTCCATCTCAAAGAACCAAATACCTAAATAAAGATCCCTGGTGGAGTTAGTGTTGAGAGAGGCTTCGATGGAGTTGCTTGTTCTTTGCTCAGATCAGATATCCTTTGCTTTTTGTAGCGGAGTTACTTTGGGCACACAAACCTGACCGTAGCTCTCGTTTCTTCGTGTGTAAAGAGCGTTCCTGTTAGGATCGGGAAGAGTGTAGTAAGCATTCGTAATGTATTTATTATTGTTGAGAATGTGTCTTATCCTTCAGACCGAGCCCACAGTTGGGGGGAAAAATATAGTTAATTTCCCCTTCTGTAAAACTGGAGATTGATCTTTGGGCCTCTGCATGCTGGGCAGGCATTCTACTGAGTTTTTCTCTTCAGCGTGGGAATCTAGAAGCTTGTATAGCTTTTGAGGAAAAATGGGGCCTGGTTTTGTGCGAAAGCCCTGTTATTCAATCTTTGATTCTGATTTCAGGCACTAACAATGGACACCCAGAAAGACATTCAACCCCCAAAGCAGCAGCCAATGATATATATTTGTGGAGGTAATATTAACATTTAAAGAAAGAACGTTTTACTTAAAAAAAAAAAAATACAAAACCTTTACTTACATGAGTATGGATCTTATAAAGTTATAAGTGGAGTACTTTAGTGACCATTACTTTAACAAATCCCGCTCCCTTATTAAGATTTCGCCTTTTTATCTGGAAACGCTATGCTGCCTACAACTCTTCTTTCTCCTTGGTTTATTTAGTAACAAACGTGCTTTTGGATGATTTGGTGTTTTGGCTTTCTCCTTTTGAAATTTGTGACTGTTCAGGCATTGAATAAATGTGCTTTTTTTTCCTAGAGTGTCACACCGAAAATGAAATAAAATCCAGGGATCCAATCAGATGCAGAGAATGTGGATACAGAATAATGTACAAGAAAAGGACTAAAAGATGTATCCTTTCGACTATACTTTCTAAATGTGAAGAGGAAATAGCTAATACTTGGGTTGGTAAGGACTCTGTTCTGATAAAAATGTTAATAACTTTTGGGTTATTTATCTATTCATTTATTTATTTATTGTTTTTTCAAGACAGGGTATCTCACTAACTCACAGAGTTCTGTCTGCCTGCCTCTGCCTCCAAAGTACTGGGATTAAAGGTGTGGGTTACCACTGGCTGCAGATTATTTATTTTTTAAACAAAGTGAACATGGACTTATTAAGGAAGAGTGAGAACTGAGAATAGAAGGCTCCAGAGGAGGTATACCCTGATTAATTATTTTAGTAGGATTTATTTTTCCCCAAACATGGGACAGAGGCAGGCAGATCTTTGTGAATTCAAGCTGTTCTGTACTTCCTGCTCCAGATCAGCTAGAGCTACTTAGTGAGACCTAGTCTCAGAAAAACAAATAGGAGCCATACAGTGGTACTACATGCCCTTGATCACAGTATTCAGGAGGCAGAGGCAGGCAGATTTCTGCGAGTTCTAGGGCAGCCTGGTCTAGAAATTGAATCCATGACAGCCAAGGTTACACAGAGAAACCCTGTCTTAAAAAGAAAACCAACCAAACAAAAACTCCCAAGAAACCAAATAGAGGCTACAGAGATGGATTAGCAGGTAGGAGCATTGGTTGCTCTTCAAAGAATCTAGGTTCTGTTTCTAGTACCAACATGATTGCCCAGCCATCTGTAATTCTAGTTACAGGGGTCTGATAGGCACACTCCAGACCTTCACCTGTACAAGGGACCCAAATGGTACACATCTATACATGGAAGCAAAAGCACTCATGCATATAATAAACCTAAATATATAAAAATATTTTTAAAAACTCAATAAATCCATTCATTTAGGTTTTCCAAGACAGTGTTTCTCTGTTTAGTCCTTGTTGTCCTGGAACTCAGTAGACCATGCTGGCCTCTGCCTCCCAAGTATAAGGATTAAAGGCCACTAAGGCCCAGCAGATTTTTTCACGTTTAAAGTACACGTGTTTAACATTTTCATGTGCCAGTAATCATGGGCGCTAAGTAATCTAAAAACTGCTTGATTTGGTTTATGCATTTTTTTCAGGAAATCTTTTTTTTAGACATAGTCATTCTTGATTGTTAGTTTATGGAAATCTAAAGTGTGGAAAAAGAATTAATAACCTAATAGAAAATAGTGAGGCCTACAAATTAGTCCAAATATTGAAAGTAAGTTGTTTCATAGTACCTTACACAAACTCTTCAAAGTTATCAATTGTCTCAATTTTTTATTATCTTTAAATTTATATTATCTTTTGTATTAAGAAAAGTGAATTAGTGAAAATGGAAGTAATGTACTTTATTTATTTTTAGATAGTCTCTGATGGTCATAGTGAAGTTCATTCTATTAATTAGCAAGCTTAGTGCAGAGGGGTGACTTGGAAGTCTTAGTCTTACACAATTTTAAGTACTGTTTAAAATCCTTAACTTAATTCAACAGTGGTGGTTTTTGATGCTCGATGAAATGGGAATTTAGGAGTGTCTTCATTTGCCCCATTGATGTTTTTCTTTATTGTATAGTTTTTGACTTAGCTTAATGAATCGACTGTATACTTATTTCATTTTAGAAATGCTATTGTATTTTAATACTTTGTATAAAGGAAATTTTGGTTCAACATACTATTTTTTTTTTTTGTTCTTGTGATCTCAATGACAAATAAAATTGTTTTCCCAAACCACTTTTTAAAAAAAAGACTTATTATTTATACAGTACTCTGCCTGTATGTGTGCCTACAGACCAGAAGCGGGCACCAGATCTCATTATAGATGGCTGTGAGTCACTATGTGGTTAGTGAGAATTGAACTCAGGACCTCTAGGAAGGGCAGTCAGTGCTCTTAACCTCTGAGCCATTTCTTCAGCCCCAAACTACTTTTATTTAATGTCTTGTTAAAAAGTCAAGTTTCTGGCCATCTAACCACCAAGCCAAGTTAAAAACCTGTGTGGTCCTCTGACCTCCACATGCAGAGCAAGACTGGAGCATGTGCATATGTGCATACCCACAGAGAAAATAACTAAAGCAGAACATAAAAAATTCTAAATGTAGGGGCTGGAGAGGTGGCTCAGAGATTAAGAGCACTGGCTGCTCTTCCAGAGGTGAGTTCAATTCCCAGCAACCACATGGTGGCTCACAGCCATCTATAGTGAGATCTTGTGCCCTCTTCTGGCGTGCAGGTGTACATGCAGACAGAACATTGTATAGACAATAAATCTTTAAAAAAAATTCTAAATGTAGTTTTCTATAACCTTTTTCTAAAGGTCTGAAGAAATAAATTCTTTGAAAACCACTGTACTTTGTCAACAACTCTTTTTTTTTTTTTTTTTTTTTAATGTGCTTTGGTGTTTTGCCTGCATGTGTATCCGTTTAAGGGTGTCAGATCCCCTGGAATTGGAGTTACAGACAGTTATGAGCTGCCATGTGGATACTGGGAATTGAACCCAGGTCCTCTGGCAGAGCAGGCAGTGCTCTTAACCACTGAGCCATCTCTCCAGCCTGTCAACAACTCTTAACTTTCAACCAGGGTACTTGCTGTCTGTTAAACTGTAAAAAGTCAAACCTAATAGACTAATCAGAAGTAAATAGATAGTTCAGCAGTTGAAAGCACTTGTACTTGGCAGAGGCCTCTGGTTCTGTTCTAGCACCCAACAAGCCTGTAACTCCAGTTCCAGGCCGTCTTCTGGGTCTGCATACACTCCATACAGACCCACACATAAAAGACAGCTAAGGGTATGAAAACAGGTGTTTCCTCACATACATAGGTACAAACACTCAGACCACAAAATTCTGGGAGCTGGGTGTGGAGGAGCCTGTCTGTAGTCCCAGTACTTGGGGGGTGGAGGCAGGAGGATTTAGAAGAGGTTCAAGGTCGTCTTTGGCTACATGGCTAGTTTGAGGCCAAGAGTGATACTTAGAGCAGAGTTCTACCACAGTGCACTACTCACGTTTCGTTTTACTTTGTGTCATGCTAAATTGGCTAGGCAGGTAGCCTGGTCTTGACCTTTCAATTTGCCAGCTGCAATCCTCCTCCCTCATTCTGCATACCTGTGAGTACAGGACTATACTATCACACACAGCTTCAAATACTTTTCACTGTTTTAAGAGCTCAGTAATTAGAATGGACTTTGGTACCCGTTGTGAGCTACCTATGTAACCCTTACTAAGCTTTTCTTTTCATTATCTTTGTTTTTTTTGGCTGCAATACTTTGTTTTCTTATGAGGACAGATAGTTTTTGCTTGTCCACAGTCTTCAGGTTGTTTTGATCTTTTTCAATTTGGCAAAAGAAAACATTAAATGTAAAAAGAAAGCCCACGACAGCCATTCCCCAGATTAAGAGGGTTTTGGTTTTTTCTCTGCTGGAAATCAGTGGTGTGACATTCAGGTGGTTGCTTGAGTCCACCTTGCTGCCTGGAGTGAGGTGTGAAGTCTTCACAGCCCCTGGAGCATGTCATGCTGTCTCCACATTTAGTGAGGTAGTCTAAGGATTATCCTGAAGCTTGCGTTTAGCGTTCTCCAGCACTCTGAAAGGAATAGCCTAAGCACCAGAATGGATATCAGCAATGGCCACAGCAGGCTTGTCTGTACTTAGGCACAAAAAGGAGACTTTATTGGATTCCTGTTGTGGGGTGGGCACATACCAGCTGCTTGTCCATCTATTTTAACGAGTCTGAAATATATTTAAATTGGAAGTAAATTTCTCCACGAAATGATCTATTGTGTTTTATTCACCTTAAGTGCTTATGTCTTAATCATATCTGTATTTCCAGAACTCAGTGTGGCGGCTTACTCCTCACCAAGCTCTCAGGAAATGTGGGCTGCATGAAAAAGGCAAAATTATCTTTTATTTATTCCCAAAGGACAGTAGGTACATAAACCTAGGGTGAAACGCAGAGGCTGACAATTAAATATTACAGTTACATAGGAACAGACACCTCTTAGCTAGAGTACAGCAGTCTAGACCAGCAGACTAGAAACAGCATTTTAAGCCAGCTGTGGTGGCACAGGTCTTTAATCCCAGCACTCAGGGAGACAGGGGCCGCCGTATCTTGTGAGCTCGAGGCCAGCCTGAACTATAAAGTGAGTTCCACGATAGCCTGGGCTACACGGAGAAACCCTGTCTCGAAAATAAAGATTAAAAATTAATAAACAGAGTTTTAACTCATTGTAAAACTGAAACTCAAAGAAGGGGAAGGGGCAAGCGCTCAATTCTGGTCAGGGTGAGGGCCGAAGTTGGCAGCGACCTGTGGGGCCAATCAGCAAGTGGATGGCCGGGGTAGCCAATCGCGAGCAGAAGGCTTAGTCTCCGCCCAGCTGCGCTAAGCACCTGCTCCTGACGTCGGGGCACCGCATCCCCAGCAAGGTGAGATCCAGGTGAGCACCCCCGGGGAGGGGGCGAAGCGGGGGCTGCACACCCACCCTGTCGGATAAACGTTCTTTTTGGTCAGGGAAGGCGATTGGAACTTTCCACCCGCTGTGGTTCGCACGGTGGTGGAAGTTGGGACGTAGTTGCCACACTCGAGTTTCCTGGGACGGCTAACTGCTTCAGCCGCGGGAACCACAGCTCAAGTCAAGGCAACGACTCCTGATGCCAACGCTTGCAGGCTGGTGCCTGGACACCGTTGCCACGGCTGAGGGGTACCGCTTCCCGTTTCTGACTGCAGAGGGCGCTCGCCGCCTCGGTAGGAGAAAGCCAGGTTTTCACGTTACTAGGGTTACCAGGAAACGCTGCAGTTTGCATAGCAGGTATTACTTACACGCTGATTAGAAAATACGGGAAGTGGATGTGGAGCAGGGTGGTGACGAATAAATAAAATCCAGACAAGACCAAGCTTTTAGAGATAAAGACTGAAAAGAAATACGGAAAAGTCTGTAGAGAACAAATAAAACCACCCTGTGGTAGTTGAAAACAGCTGGGAGGGGGGAAGGATGCGTCGGGTCTCATGGAGTTTAAGCGGGCTATGTTAGTTATGTAGCTGAGGATGATCTTGAACTCTTGCCCACCCCCCAACCACTGGCATTATGTCATGCCATGCCCAGCTAAGATGCAGTAATCTTAAGAAAATGTATCCTATGGGGGAGAGGGAGGAAGCAGGATAGCTCTCATAAAAGATTCTCAGAGATATTAGAATAGTGTTCAGAATGAAATTTACTCAGGTAAGAGATGGTTTTATCATATTTTGTTCACTATATTTTATTCCAACCCAAATCCCAATGATTGTGAGATATTTCCATTCAAGGTGATGTATTTTAATCCTACTAGTTCTCTCTCACAAAAGTCTCTCCAGCTCTTTTGAAAAACTCATAACATTCTTTTTGCACAACATAGGTAAAAGTCCTTCAGGACTTGTCCTATTAGCTCTTGGGCACTGAACCATCCCTCCAGCCCCACACTTACATGTTACATGCTGACCTACTGGGACACAGTATTTCCTTGCAGGAGCCTTTGTCGCTTGTAGTTTATGCACCAAAACCTGTTTGTCATTCTGTGCCAGTTGTGTCTAAAGTGAAGTGTGAGATAGCACAGGAGTCAAATAGGTTGACTCAGCTCATGTTGAGAGAAAGTTCAAAACAGAGAGCCTTCCTCTTTGGGGAAAAAAAAATCACACCACCCCTTTTTCTCTAAGAGCTTTCAGTGATCTCTGCTATCTGAATTAATCTAAATTATTATATATGTATTAGGTTCACATCTGTCTTCTTACAATGTGTTTCAGCCATGACAGCTAAGGATTGTCCATCATTGTGGAGCTTTGGAACAACAAAGACATTTAAAATTCCCATAGAACATTTGGATTTCAAATATATTGAAAAATGTTCAGATGTGAAACACCTGGAGAAAATTCTTTGTGTGCTGAGGTAAGCATTTAAAAATGATTTCATGCCTCAATCTGTCAGTTTTAATTGTGTCATTGCCTTTAGGGAGGCAAAGCAACAGTAGCCGTATTAGAGAATTTTCAGATGCTGAGGTTAGTACATACATTCCATACTGGTTTTCTGCTGTGGTTCTGGAGGGTTTTGGCCCACAGGAGACATAGCTGATTAAGATCCAAAAAGTTAACTCTTCTTGTTTCTGCTGTGTTGTCCAAGAAAAGGTAATGCAGCTGCCAAGGAATGAACATATTTCAATTCTCTGACAGCAAAGGGCTACTCACTGCTGCCTGATCACAGGGAGGCTTGTGGTGGGGAGCGCTGTGGGGCGCTGATGACTTTGTACATGTATCCCAGATGTGGCTTTTAAAAGTGCAGGTTTGAGGGCCTCATTTCCAGCTGTTCCTCTCCAGAAGGCCCGAGAAGGGAAATGTGTTTTTAACAATGCAGTGATTGTTATGTGGGATTACAAAAATCTATTTCAAGAGCCACTGCCCTGCGGACTGCCCACCTGGCACGATTGTTGGGTTTCCTGAGAGATCTGAGTTGAGGAGTCCAGCTGCAGAAGCACTTGTGGATCCTGAGCTAGCACGCTTGCCAGGGCACAGTCAGGATGCTTGGCTTTTCACTAGTCCTTGCCTTTATTTTCTCTGACCCTCTTCCCTTCAAAAATAAATAAATAAATAAATAAATAAATAAATAAGATATATATATATATGTCTGCATATACGTATGTACGCCACATGTATGCCAATGCCTTCATGTAGGCCAGATGACTTCATTTAGCTTTCTAGGGAAGGAATTCTGGTTTTTGAGTGGTTCACTTAAGGGGTGTTTTTGTCTAAGCTGTTTCTCTGCCATTTTCTTCTCATACATTAAAAAACAAAACAAAACAAAACAAAAAAACCCAAACAAAACAACAAAAACCCAAACATTTTAGAATGTTTGCCTAGTATTCATGAGACCTTGGTTTGATTCACATCAGTGGAATTTGTTGGCAAATGTTTGTAATCCCAGCACTAGAAATATGAGCCCGGAAATATTAGGAGTTCATGGCCATCCTAAACCACACAGGGAGTTAGAAATCAGCATGGTTTTTTACACAAGACCTTGTCTCAAAGTCAGATTTTTTTTTTTTAAAAAAACAAACTTTTTGAAAAGGAAGCCTACATTGTCTCTAATACTGAATTTCTAATATAAGTTTTGAAATTGCTCTGTGCATAAAATGAACATATATGTATTACTTAGGAGAGAAAATATTACTCAAATTGAAAATTTATTATTTTATGCATATGGGTGTTGTGCTGTGTTTATGTCTATGCACTGTGTGTACATAGTGGCCACAGAGGCCAGAAGATGGTGAAGTGTGTCAGATAACCTGGAACTGCCGGAGTTGTAAGCTGTCATGTGGGAACTCAGGTCCTTTGGAAGAGCAGCCAGTGCTCTTAACTGCCAAACCATCTCACCAGCCCCTATTTAGTCAACCTTTGATGTGTGTGATGCACATTGTTTTCTCTGGAATCTTCATCCCTGTGTGTGCCATAGACATTTTGATACGAATGGCCAGTGCTCCTGTTGAGCCAGCATCCCAGCTCCAGCCTTGCATAGCCCTTGAGATCAAAGACCCTGGGTGTCCTAGGGAACATGTTTTGCAAACCACGAGTGTAGAAGATCTCTAAATAAGGTGCTAACTCTAAAATCATGACTGCTTTTTAAGGTCTGGTGAAGAAGGCTATTACCCTGAACTCACAGAGTTCTGTGAGAAGCGCCTCATGGGCTTGGCTCCTGGAAGCCGAGCTCTGAGGAAAGACAAGCCCGCAGCAACAGCGTCCAGCTTTACGGCAGAAGAATGGGAAAGGATCGACAGTGACATAAAGGTAGCTCGAGCACCAGTTTTGGTCATGTGGTAAAACTGCTATGTGTATGCTTCAGTCACTTGAAATTCTGGCCTTCTTGTCAGTGACTGGCTCTTAGTGGTGACTGCTTTGAAAGTAGTGGTGGCTTCTTAATTCTATTCAGTATTGTGAATTTGTGTGTGTGAAATGCATTCTAAATTTCTTTATCATATTCAACCACAAACAAATCACCATCTACCTCTTTATATAACTATACTTGGGGCTGGGTGCTGCCTGTCATCCTGGCACTTGGGAGGCAAAGGCAAGGGGAGCAGAAAGAATTCAACCCTAGCTACATAGTGAGATAGAGGTCAGTCTTGACTACACAAGACTCTCACAAAAAACAAAACGAGAAAAGCTTGATGTTTGGTTATGTTTGTTTTGTAATTTCTTGATGATTTCCCCTAAATAAATTGTGAAAATTCAAGTTATTTGAGCAAATAATTTAAAATAGTTTTGTTTTAGGCTTTTTTGAGAGAGAGTTCCATGGCCAGGCTGAGGATGGCTCTGAGCTCTCACTCCTCTTGCTTCTATTTTCTTTTTTGTTTTGTTTTGTTTTTCTGACTTGCTTTTGTAGACCAGGCTGGCCTCAAACTCATAGAGATCTACCTGCCTCTGCCTCCCTGAGTGCTGGGATCACAGGAGAGTGCCACACACCCAGCTGCTTCTACTTCCTAAGAGCTGGATTACAGGCTTGTGTTGCCATACCCAGACTCTCCTTTGTCTCCCCAACCCCCACTCACTCCCCCCAGACAGGTTTCTCTGTAGTCTTAGCTGTCCTGGAACTTGTTCTATAGACCAGGCTAGCCTGGAACTCACAGAGATCTGCCTGCCTCTTCCTCTGCCTCTGCCCCTCTGCTCCTCTGTCCCTCTGCCCCTCTGCTCCTCTGTCCCTCTGCCCCTCTGCCCCTACCTCTGCCAGGATCAAAGGTATGTTTGATACCTTTGATCAAACCACTGACCAGTTCCTCATTTGTCTTTATGGTAATATTTTAGTAGTAAATCTTCAAAGCAGGTAGTGGAAATCTTTAGCTGTTTTCTTAGTCAGAGACACTATAGCTGTGATGAAACATCGTGACCAAAGCAACATGGAGGAAAGGGTTTATTCAGTTTATGCTTCCACATCACAGGTCATTATCAAGGGATATCAGGACAGGATCTCAAGCAGGGCAGGAACCTGAAGGCAGAAGCATCCATGGAGAGATGCTGCTTATTGGCTTGCTCCTCTTGGCTTGCTCAAGCTTTAAGAAAGCTTGCTTTCTTAAAGAACCCAGTACCACCAACCCAGGGATGGCCCCACCTACCATGGACTGGGCCCTCCCCCAAATCAATCACTAACTTAAAAAAAATGCTATACAGTCTTCTCTACAGGCCTATCTTATGATGGCATTTTCTAAATTGAGGTTCCCTCTTGTCAGAGGATTCTAGCTTGTGTCAAATTGATGCAAAAGTAGCCAGCACACCTGTTCTTTGTTATTTTGTTACACTTCATTTCAGTCTTTTGCTTCTCAATTTCTATACAGTGATGTGCTTCTGTCTGGAATGAGACTGTATTGAATTATTGGATCTTTTTATTATTGGTATTATATTACAGTCCAGGCTGGTCTATAATTGTCAGTTCTATTACCTATGTGTCTCAAGTGCAGGGATTAAAAGTTGCCACACTTGCTTTGTGAATCAGTTTCAGAAGAACTATTGTGAACTAACATTGTTTTGTTTTGTTTTCTTGAGACAGGCTGTCACTCTTTGTATCCCTGGCTGGCTTGGAACTCACTATATTGACCAGGCTGGCCTCAAACTCACAGAAGTCTACCTGGCTCCCAAGTGCTGGGACTAAAGGCATTCTCCTCCACTCCTGTCTATGAACTAAGTCCTTAACAATATTGAGACTTTCATTCATGAACATTGTATCTTTTTCCATTCATTAAACTGTGCATATTGGTCTGTTTCCTACCCTTACAGAGAAAATCAGCCACTCACCATTAAGTATAATGTTAGTTTTAGATTTTATGTAGATATCCTTTGTCAAATTAGGGAAGTCCCCTTCTGATCCTTGGCTGGTTTTTGTTGTCTATTTGTTTTTAAGATAGGGTTTCTCTGTGTAGCCTGGGCTATCCTGTGACTCTCTATGTTGATCAGGCTGGCCTTGAACTCGCTTTCCTCTGCCTCTCTGCCTGATCCTTATTTGATTGCAATTCTTTTTCTAGAGTAAGTTTTAAATTTTATAAAACAAAACTTTTTCTGCATTTATTGAGCTGATAATATACTTTTTTTGTAGTCTCTTAATATTTAATAAGCTATGTAGATGGCCTGCACACACAGTTGTGAGTGTATGGGAGTATTTGTGTGTGAGTGTTTGATTGTATGAGTAAGTGTGTGAGACAGTGTGGATATTTGTGTGACTTTGTTCATGTGTGTTGATAGTAGGGATTAAACCTAGGGCCTCCCATTTACTTAGTACAAGTTTTACAATTGAAATGCATTTACAGCCCAGATAGTTTTAGATTTTATACAGTAGTGTCTTAATAGTTTTTCAGTGTATACTTTTTGCACTTTTATTATATTTATTCCTAAGTAATTCATAGTTCTTTGTTATCGTTTATCTTAAGTCACCCCATCATGAAATTTTATTGTTGTAAGATACAAATAGCATAAAATTCATTATTTTAACTTTCTTTTAGGTGCTTGAGATAAGATGCAAAGTGCACACACTCAGGTGTGTTGGATTTCATCATTAATCCCAGCCCTTGGGTGGTGAGTCAGGAGCTCAAGGCCATCTACACTACATATAGAGTTTGAGGCCAAAATAACCCAAACAAAGCCATGCCTAAAAGATAAAAAGAAATAAAAGTAAGATAGGCAATAATAAAATGAAAATTCTTTAATTTTTTAAATGTTATTCATCTATCATCTATCTCTATCTTTCTATTAATTATCTACCTACCTACGTATTCTCTCTTTCTCTCTCTTTCTCTCTCTTTCTCTCTCTCTCTCTCTCTCTCAATCTGTGTGTGTGTGTACCACATGTGGAGGTTAGAGGACAACTCGGGGAGCCAATTCTCTTTTTCCATTCACTGTCCTGGGGCTTGTATTCATGTCATCATTCTTGGTGGTGAGCACTTTAACCCCTGAGCTGTTTCAGTGTCTCACATATTCTTTTTGTATTATTATTACATTCAAAGAGAAGGAGAGGAAGAGAGAGAAGAGAGGGAAAGAGGGAAAGGGAAAGAAAGACATACACAGAGAGAACAAGAGTGTATGTGTGTGGGGTTCATAATAAAGCTATTATGAACATAGTTAAGCAACCTTCCTTGTGTTATGGCAGAATATCTTTTGGGTATATACCCAAAAGAAGTATAGCTGGGTCTTGAGGTAAAGTTATTCCTAGTTTTCTAAGAAAGTGCCAGATTTATCTTCAAAATAGTTGTACAAGTTTACTGTCCCTCTACCACCTGTCCTGGAGTTGAACTCTGCCTCTTGAGGCTTGTTAGCATCCTTAAGAGCTGAGCCATCTCATTCCCACCCCCCAAATATCCTTTTTTGTTTTGTTTTTTCAAGACAGGGTTTCTCTGGGTAGCCCTGGCTGTCCTAGACTCACTTTGTAGACCAGGCTGGCCAGAGATCTGCCTGCCTTTGCCTCCCAAGTGCTGGGATTAAAGGCGTGTGCCACTACGCCCATATTTTCCCAAATATTCTTAATGAGACTTAATTATGCACTAAAAATAGTTAATAAACTAAATTTCGTGTTATGGAAACTTATAACATTTTTTTTTAAAAAAAAAAAAAAAAAAGGAAGGACCTTCCAGAGAGAATGACGTGGGAAGTGGACTTTGAAGACTGCTTTGTGGTCCTCCCTAATGCGGGTCAGTGACTTCAGTCTCAGTTGCCTCTTTCTGTTCCATCCTTACAGAGTTGGGTATCAGAAATCAAAAGAGAGGAAACTACCAGGTACTTCTATGACCCTGAAACACGTACAGGGGAGGAGGATCATTTGCCTCCAGTTCGTGGCTCAAACTGCTGTCCTCAAAATGGCAAGGTAGGCCTTTATGCTTTGGAATGGGGCCTCCTTAGTGAGCGTGTTTCTCTGATTTTCATTCTTTTGTATCTAGTCCCTATTTGGTCTTGCAAATCACTCCTTTTAACTCAGGTTTCACCAAAAAAAAAAAAAAAAAAAAAAAAAAGAGTGGTCTGCTAGAGTTCCAATTCCCTCTAGTCCACTTAAAGTAAAATTTTGTTATTGTTAACTTATGTTTATTTTTTTTTTAAATAGACTCTACCTAAGTAGCCCTGGTTGGCTGGAACTTACTATGTAGTCCAGGCTGGTCTCAAATTCACAGGAATCTGTCTGCCACTGCCTCCCAAGTGCTGGGATTAAAGGTGTGCACCATCATGCCTGGCTCTTTAGCTTTTTATTATACGCATATGTAATATGCATGTATATTATACATATTGATACATATGCATGCGTATATTATTGTACACACGCACACGCACACAGGTAAGCACACATGCATATGCTGTAGTAGTGTGTACACGTCACCTCTAGTGGAATGAGTTCTCTCCATCCACCCTGTGTCTTCAGGAGACTGAGCTCAGGTCTTTAGGCAGCGAGAATGTTTACTCACTGAGCCATCTAAATGGCCCCTCATTTTTTTTTCTAGAATCTTCAGTTTTATTTCTAAAACATTTTCTATCACTTTGTTCTGTGATAATTTACCTCCCTGGACCTTTTAACTCATCACATGTGTTAATGTGGGGGATGAGCCATCTCTAATCAATGAATGTTTAGTCACTAACAGAGCAATGTGGGCTAAATCTGTGCCCTAAACAATGATAATATAGAATGTTTGACCTGGCCTTTATTTTTATTTTTTAAAGATATTTTATTTTGTATGTATATGTGTTTTGCCTGCATACTGCATGCATGTAGCACCTGCAGAGGCCAGAAGAGAGTGTCAGATTCCCAGGAACTGGAATTACAGACTGTTGTGAGCTGCTGTGTAGGTGCTGGGACTTGGACCTGGGTCCTCTGGAAAATTAGCAAATGTGCTTAGCCACATAGGCATCTCTCTAGCTCTTTGTCATGGCCTTTAAAGAGCTTATAAGCCAGTGGTGTACATAGCTGAGCAGCACAGTGATTCTCAGCTTGGATTCCAGGAAATCCAAAAAGTCAGTGTTTGTTTTCTTTTGATATAGGGTCATGCTGTGTTGCTCAGGCTGGCTTGGAATTCTTCCATCCAAGTGATCCCCTACCTCAGCCTCCTAAGCAGCTGAGACTGCAGGTGCACACTGCTGCGTCCAACAGTGCTGTTTGAAAGATAGTATTAGAGCCTCACCTTTCCTGCTGTTACAACATCAGCACTGAGAGTAAAGCTGCTGTGGCTTAGCTGGACTCAAGGCAGGGCCACCAACCACTAGTGCCCGTTGTGATAAAAACCAATTGAATAGAATAATAGGTTTGAACAACAGCAAATTATCTTCTTAAATATTATGCCTTGAGGATGTTTGCTTTTAGTATTTTATGTAACAAGCTGGGAAATATGCATAAAGCCTTCTGCTGAGTAGGAAACACAATTGTACTGTGTATCTCAACAGCAGTACTCGTGGGCCAGCAAGATGGCTCCTGTGGTAAGGTACCTGCCACCAATCCTGAGTTTGATTCAGGGACCCACGTGGTGGAAGGAAAGAACTTTTTTTTAGATTTTTAATTTTTATTCTATGTGTGTACGTGTTTGCCTGCATGTATGTGTGTGCACCGTGCACTTTCAGAAGAAAATATCAGATCTCCTGTAACTGGAGCTAGCCACTGTGTGGGTGCTGGAAACTGAACTCAGGCGGTTTGGAAAAGCAACAAATGCTCTTAACATCTGAGGGTATCTCTGTAACCCCAAGAGAGAACCAACTCTTGAACGTTGTGCTCGGATCTACACACACACACACACACACACACACACACACACACACACACACACAGGCACACCTATGCACACATATGTGTGTAATATATTTTTATCCTCTAAATGGAGTATATATTTCACATGGGGATGTTGAAGAACCACACAAGAATTTAAGTACCCCATTTTCTTTCTTTAAAAGAATTTAGATTTATTAATTTATATGTGTTTTGCCTACGTATATGTATGTGTACTATATGTATATACAGTGCTTGAGGAGGGCAGAAAAGGACATAAGATCCTCTGGAACTATAGTTACTAGTATTTGGGATCTATCAGGAATGTGCTGGGAACTGAACCTGGGTCCTCAGCAAGAAAAAGTGTGCTCTTACTTGTTGATCCATCGTTCCAATCCTAGCACTCTCCTTATCCATTTAACAATGAAGTTGTGCCACTTGTATTAGTTTTCTAACAATACAATGTGTTTTATGGTTCCAGAGACAAGTCTACAACCAGGATATTGGCTGGGCCATGCCCCTTTGCAACCCATAGGGGAGGATTCTCCCTTGCCTTTCCAGTTGCTAATATTGCTGGCCATCCTCAGCTATGACAGCTGAACTCTAGTCTCTGCGTTCCCCATCACAGCTTCCCCTCTCTTGGTGCATTCCTCGGGTATCATTGTATGTTTTGGGAGATTAAGTTCTCCTCAGTCTAATGGCTATCATGCTTTCCTCCAGTTTTCTCCTGCTGCAGTACCTGCGCTGCTTCCCCATCATCAGCAAAGGGCTCCGACCTAGTTTGGGCCACTTTGCCCCCACTAGCTCCCATTGGAGCCCTTTCCTGCAGTTTCTCTAAGGGGTGGCAGAGAGGAGGGCCACTCTTCTGTTCTTCCTGATGAGGCCTTTGTGATTATAATGCTAGACTACTGTGGCCATGTCTCTTGCCACATGGAGAAAGCACATGGCTGTCAGTGAGATGAAATCAGCAGGAGTGCAGCGCATCAGGAAGAGAGCAAAGGCTGGAGAACACACACGGAAAAGCTTTCATCCAGCACCATGCCCTCTCCCCAGTTTGGCTATGACTGGGTTTTTGTTGTTGTTATTGTTTTGGTTATTTTGTTTGTTTGTTTGTTTTATGGAATTACTCCAAATTGGGTGTTTGTCATGACAAACAAAACAGCTCTGACTACTACAGTAAAGTTGTTACTCTTAATTCTCTAGATGCCTTCTGAAAGAATGAATGATTTTAATAATACTTTTATTTGAAGAAACCATTAATGATCACACATGAGTTTTCGATTTTTATGTATGCCTCTAAAAACCTAAGAGATTGTCTTTAAACACTGTCTTTTACCTCAGAGATGTTCTAACTTCTAAGGGAACTGTTTTTTTTTTTTCTTATCAGTTACATTTTATTAACTCTGTATCCCAGCCGTATCCCGCTCCCTCATTCCCTCCCAATCCCACCCTCCCTCCCTCATCTCCACCCTGCCTCTTTCCAAGTCCACTGATGGGGGGGGGGGAACCTCCTCCCCATTCATCCAATCCTGTTTTATCAGGTATCTTCAGGACTGGCTGCAAAGTCCTCCTCTGTGGCCTAACAGGACTGCTCCTCCCTTGGGGGGTGGGGAGGTCAAAGAGCCAGCCATTGAGTTCCTGTTAGAAATAGTCCTTGTTCCCCTTACTATGGGAAACCAATTGGTTACTGAGCTACCACGGGCTACATCCGAGCAGAGGTTCTAGGTTATATCCATATATGGTCCTTGTTGAATGTCAGTCTCAGAAAAGACCCTGTGTCCAGATATATTTGGTCCTTGTGGAGCTCCTATGCTTTCCCCATCATACTAACTCCCCTTCTTTCATATGATTCCCTGTACTCTGCCGAAGGTTTGGTCATGAGTCTTAGTATCTGCTTTGAAACACTGCTAGTTAGAGTCTTTCAGATGCCTTCAGTAGACTCCTGTCATACGTTCAATGCACATCCCATCTGTCTTTCTAAACGAGGATTGATCATCTTACCCCATATCCGCTCTCTTGATTATCTTTTTTAGGTGTATAGATTTAATTATGTTTATCATATCTTATAGGTCTATATAAGTGAGTATATACTGTGTTTGTCTTTCTCCTTCTGGGATACTTCACTCAGAATGATCTTTTCTAGATCCCACCATTTGCCTGCAAATTTCATGATTTCCTCCTTTTTGATTGCTGAGTAGTATTCCATTGTGTAAAAATAACACAATTTCTGTATCCATTCCTCCGTTGATGGACATCTGGGTTGTTTCCAGCTTCTGGCTATTACAAATAAAGCTGCTATAAACATGGTTGAGCAAGTATCCCTTTTGTGTACTTGAGCAAAGTTTGGGTATATACCTAGCAGTGGTATAGCTGGGTCTTGAGGAAGCACTATTCCTAATTGTCTGAGAAAGCACCAGATAGATTTCCAAAGTGGTTGTACCAGTTTACATTCCCACCAGCAGTGGAGAAGGGTTCCCCTTTCTCCACTACTCTCCAGCATGTGTTGTCCCTTGAGTTTTTCATCTTGGCCATTCTGATGGGTGTGAGGTGAAATCTCAGGGTTGTTTTGATTTGCATTTCTAAAGGGACCTGTTTTTCTGATCCATTCCATTTGTGTATTTTGCTTCAGTCGTTCACAGTGCAGGATATATTATAATAAATCCTGGTGAGCTTAGGTTGAATGTGTCTCATTTACTCTTTCAGGAAGCATATTCTAAAAGTAAGCCAACTAAGAAGAATATTCCAAGGGATTATGCAGAGTGGGATAAGTATGTTTTATATTTCATTTGAAATTTGACTCTGAAAAATCTCTACCATTAAATTCTCAGATACAATTTAATACATCAATTACTTTAGTAAAGTTACCATTTTAACAAACACTTCCCACCCCCCCTTTCTTGTTTCTTTTGAGAAAGGGTTTCACTGTATAACCCAGGCTGGGCTCTAATTTAGAAAGCCTCCTGTCTTGGTCTCCCATTTGCAATAATTACAAGCACATACTACCACATCTCCTTTTCTGTATGCTTTTGTTTATAAAAATAACCACAAAACAGGTTACATTTAAGTTTGTTGCTGTTGTTTTTTTAAGTAGGGTTTCTCTGTGTAGCTCTGGCCATTCTGGAACTTCCTTTATAGACTAGGCTGGCCTCAAACTCACAGAGAACCTGCCTCTGCCTCTGCGTCTCGAGTGTACACAAGGTGTACATGACCACCACCCAGCAAATGGTTAGAATTTTAAAAAAGAAAAAAATCTATTTATTTATTTATTTGTTTGTTTGTTTGTTTGTTTATTTATTGCAATACCTCTCACCATGTAACTCTAGCTGTCCTGGAACTTATTCTGGCTGGCCTTGAACTTGGAGAGATCCACCTGTTTCTGCCTCCCAGTGCTGGAATTTAGAGAGGATGCCAGGCAGTTGCTGGTCTTAAGAAGGAATGCAGATGATGAGGAATGTTTTGCCTAAAATATGGACCCTCAGCACAGGCTGAACATTGATAATCCGAAAATCCAAAGTCTAAAATGTCTCAAACCTGAAACTCTTTCAGCACTGACAGTTCACTACCAGTGATAATTCCATACTGTGAAACAATTGTTTCATTCACAAAGTTACTTAAAATATTGTATGAAGCTATGCTGAGGTTACATGGATGTGAAGCAGGCATGAATACCATGTCTTAATTTGGGGATTCCCCATACATCTCATTTGGCATATGCAAATGTTTGCCAACACTTGAAAAAAAAAATCTTATCCAGGCAGTGGTGCTGCACACCTTTAATCCCAGCCCTTGTGAGTTCAAGGCCAGCCTGGTCTAGTGATACTCTTGTCTCAGAAAACAAAAACAAAATAAAACAAACAAACAAACAAAAAAACTCAATTCCAAACAGAATTTGTCCCAAGACAAGGAGAGCAGCTATGAGTTTTGTTTCTTACTTACTTTGTAGGTTTTTAAAAATTGTTTTATTGTTCTTTCAGATTTGATGTGGAAAAAGAATGTTCAAAAATTGATGAAGATTACAAAGAAAAGACTACAGTAAACAACAAGGCTCATTTGTCTAAAATTGAGACAAAAATGGACATAGCAGGTAATAAGAAAAAAATGGGAATTAGTTATTTTTCTAACCTTTAACTTATAATAAAAACTTGCCAGCTTAGGAAATATTATCCTTAAGCACTATTGATTTCCATTAAAGTTTATAGATTTTTTTTTTTAGCCAAAGTTGACCACTTCTAACATTTATTCTATCTTTAATTACTCAATTTTGTTTGAGACATGTAGCACAGGTTGGCCTTGATTTCACCGTGTAGCTGACCTTGGGCTTCTGATCTTGCTGCCTCTGTCCAAGTGCTGGGATTACAGGTGTGGACCAATGTGCCTGGCTTTAATAAAGAAGTTTGTAACTTCAAAACCTATTTTTCTTAGAATATTCTTTAGTTTCCCAATTCCTTTTCTTTTCTTTCTTTTTTAAATTTTTTTTATTTTTTGAGACAGGGTTTCTCTGTGTAATATAGTAACAGCCCTGGCTTCCCTGGAGCTCGCTCTGTAGACCAGGTTAGCCTCAAACTCACAGAGATCCGCCTGCCTGGGATTAAAGACAAGTGCCACCATGCCCAGCTTTAGGTTATATTTTCATGTGCGTTTATTTCTAGGTCTAACTGAGAAGGAAAGGAGTTTTCTTGCCAATCGGGAAAAGGGAAAAGGGAACGAGGCTTTCTACTCAGGAGACTATGAAGAGGCTGTGATGTATTATACCCGGTCAGTAGGTTATCATTTCATTGTGGCTTACCTTTGCTCTCTTAGGGGCTGGAGAGATGGCTTGGCAGATAGGAGCACCCAGGTTCAATTTCTTGCATCCACATGGCAGCTCACAGCCTGCTGTAACTTCAGTTCTACGGGATCCAACTGGCACCAGGCACACATGTTCTCATAAATGTAGGCAAAACACACATACATGTAAAGTTAAAGTGAAGTCACATAAATAAACTAAACAGTGTGTGTTGGTATGATTTGTGATAAATGAATTTACTGGTGATCGAAAGGTCTCCTCTATCCTCAGATGTAGCCCTTCTATCTTTGAAGCTGGCTTATCCTTCAGGACTTAGCTCACGTCTCTGACTTCCCAGAGAAGCCTTCCCTGACGTGACCCATAGTGAGGTCTCTGCTCTGTAACACAGCACCAACCCTGCTTCGCAGGCTCTCAGCAGCTACAGCTTCACTGCTCTTCTCAAGGGAACAGTTCAGATCTGGCTGTCTGACACTGAAGTCACCTTAAACTCCCCAACAGCAGAGCACACTTGCTCAGTTGTCTTACAGCATACTTCCTCATTGCCCAGAGAGGGTTTGGCTCAGCAGAGTTTCAGTGCAGACCTGTGAACTCTTGAAGATTGTGCAAAGTAAATGAAGTTCCTAATATACTCTCATACTAGGATTTTAGAATCACTAATGCTAGCTGGGGATGGCACACACCTTTAACCCCAGCACTGGGGAGCAGAGGCAGGAGGATCACTGTGAGTTTGAAGCCAGCCCAGTCTACATAGTGAGTTCCAATGCTAAGTTAAGAGACCCTGTCCAAAAAAAAAAAAAAAAAAAAAATCATTAATCCCACTCATAATTGAGCTCTGTACACCCTTCCCTCCACCTTTGTGAGGAAGCCTGTAAAGTTTATTATTTTTTTTATTTTATTTTTTTGAGGTTTAGGAAGCCATATCTCAGGCTAGCTTCAAACTCATTGTGGAGCCAGAATGACCTTGGACTTCTGATCTTCCTGCCTCTACTCTGATTACAGATGTGTGCTATTATTCCTAGCCTAGATTTTTCTTCTTTGGTGTTGTCTCCAGGTGACTTGTGATTGCTCATTCAGGGCAGCCTCCCATATGCAGTCAAGGGACATACATCAGCCCTGCCATATTCATTCTCCCTCCCTCCTTCTCTCCCTATACCCCACTGCTTTTTCTGCTACTGTTATGAGCCCACGTTGGCCTTGATACTCCTGCTTCCACATTTCAGGTACAGGGATTAATTACAGGCATCTCACCCAACTGTTGTTTGTTTGTTTTGTCTTTTGTTTTTTTGTGTTGTGGAATTTCATTAGTGGAGATTCTCCTGTTACAGAAAGTGATATTTTCTTTACCTTCTTTGTAAGCAGGAAACTGAGGTCTGCTTCTTTCTAGCCTTCTGCCTCACCTCTCTTGCCTTCATTTCCTCAGTGTGATAAAGTTCTAAGCCTGCCAGCCTCAGGGGGTTTGTGAGGACCAAGTAGGCAGTTACTGGAGATAAGACAGCAAGCAGACTGTCTGGGTAAGACCCTTACATGTTATTTAGCAACTGTGGCTATTGGCACACATTAAATTTTCCATATATCTCATATTCCAAATGGGCAGAGCAGTAATACTCCCCCATGGAGTAGCCCCATAGTCATGAGGCTGACATAAACTGTATCTGTACTGTGCTGAGTACCTGTACTAGAGTAGGAGTACTCAGTGCCTGCAGTGGGTGTGCTGGCTAGTTTTATGTCAGCTTGACACAAGCTAGAGTCATCTGAGTGGAGGGAGCCTCAATTAAGAAAAAGCCTAAGAGCAACAATCAATAAATGGGACCTCATGAAACTGAAAAGCTTCTGTAAAGCAAAAGACACCGTCATCAAAACAAAACAACAGCCTACAGATTGGGAAAGAATCTTCACCAACCCTTTATCTGGGGTTAATATCCAGTATATACAAAGAACTAAAGAAGCTGAAAAGCAACAAACCAAGTAATCCAATTAAAAAATGGAGAACAGAGCTAAACAGAATTCTCAATAGAGGAATATCGAATGGCAGAGAAACACTTAAAGAAATGCTCAACCTCATTACCCATCAGGGAAATGCAAATCAAAACGACCATGAGATTTCACCTTACACCCATCAGAATGGCCAAGATCAAAAACTCAAGTGACAACACATGCTGGAGAGGTTGTGGAGAAAGGGGAACCCTCCTCCATTGCTGGTGGGAATGCAAACTTCTACAACCACTCTGGAAATCAATCTGGCGCATTCTCAGACAACTAGGAATAGCGCTTCCCCAAGATCCAGCCATACCACTCCTAGGCATATATCCAAAAAAGGTTCAAATATACAGTAAGGACATTTGCTCAACCATGTTTGTAGCAGCTTTATTTGTAATAGCCAGAAGCTGGAAACAACCCAGATGCCCCTCAACTGAAGAATGGATATAGAAATTGTGGTACATCTACACAATGGAATATTACTCAGCAATGAAAAACAAGGAAATCATGAAATTTGCAGGTAAATGGTGGGAGCCGGAAAGGATCATCCTGAGTGTGGTATCCCAGAAGCAGAAAGACACACATGGTATATACTCACTCATATAGACCTATAATATAGGATAAACCTACTAAAATCTATATATCTAAAGAAACTAATCAAGAGGGAGGACTCTGACTAAAATGCTCAATCCCCATCCAGAAAGGCAAAGAGGATGGACATCAGAAGAAGAAGAAAACAGGAAACAAGTTAGGAACCTGCCACAGAGGGCCTCTGAAAGGCTCTGCCCTTCAGACTATCAAAGCAGATGCTGAGACTTATGACCAACTGTTGGGCAGAGTGCATGGAATCTTATGAAAGAAGTGGGAAATAGTAAGATCTGGAGAGGACAGGAACCCCACAAGAAGAGCAACAGAACCAGAAAATTTGAGCACAGGAGTCTTCCCAGAGACTCAGACTCCAACCAAGTACCAGGCATGGAGGTAACCTAGAACCCCTGCATAGATGTAGCCCATGGCATTTCAGTTTCCAAGTGGGTTACATAGTATTGGGAAGAGGGACTGCCTTAGACATAATCTGATTGGCCTGCTCTTTGATCACCTCCCCCTGAGTGGGGAGCAGCCTTACCAGGCCACAGAAGAAGACAATGCAGCCACTCCTGATGAGATTTGATAGACTAAGATCAGAAGGAAGGAGAGGGGGACCTCCCCTATCAGTGGACTTGGGGAGGGGCATGCATGAAGAAGGGGGAGGGAAGGTGAGATTAGGAGGGGAGAGGGAGGGGTTTATGGGGGATACAAAGTAAATAAAGTGTAACTAATAAAAGTTTTAAAAAATGACACAAACCAATAAACACACACACACACAAAAGCCTCCTTAAGATCTGGCTATAGGCAAGCCTGTAAGGCATTTTCTCAATTTGTGATTAATGGGAGAGGGCCCAGCCCATTGTGGGTGGTTCCACTCCTAGGCTGGGCCTAGTTTCTATAGGAAAGCAGGTTGAGCAGGCTAAGTCAGTAAACACACACTCCAATGGCCTCGAATCGGCTCCTGCTTCCCGGTTTTACCCTGTTTGGATTCCTGTCTTGACTTAGTTTATGAATAGCACTATGGAAGTGTAAGCCAAATAAACCCTTTCTTCCTTACGTTGCCTTTTTGGTGTCTCATTACTGCAATGAAAACCCTGACTGATAGTTGGGTAGGTGCTCAGTGCCAAGACTCAGTGCTGGGTACTTTCTTTATCCTTCTGTGCATCGTCCTAACCTGGTCTCTACGAAGCCTTGTAATTTGTGTGTATGCCTTTAATGGTCTTGTAAACTTACTCTGTTTTTGACTTTTCCATTTGTACCTTCTATTTCTTTTCCATTTTTAGTAAATTCAATGCATGGATACGCTAATCTTTCCTATATCTGTTAGTAATTACATGTCATTCAAAATCAACTTTTTGTTTTGTTTTGTTTTTGTGCTCTTTCGAGACAGGGTTTCTTTGTGTAGCCTTGGCTGTCCTGGACTCACTTTGTAGACCAGGTTGGTCTCAAACTCACAGAGATCCACCTGTCTTTGCTTCTCCTAGTGCTGGGATTACAGACATGTGCCACCATGCCCAGCCAAATCAACTTTTAAAGTAACAGAAAGGTGGATTACATTCCTATTCCACTTATTATTTTGTCCTGTGTCTTTCTTCACATATCTTTTAAAAATTTATTTATCTTTATGTATATGAGTGGTCTATCTGCATGTATACCTACATGCCAGAAAAGGGCATCAGATCACATTATAGATGGTTATGAGCCACCATGTGGTTGCTGGGAATTGAACCCAGGACCTCTGGAAGAGAAGACAGTGCTCTTAACCACTGAGTCATCTCTCCAGGCCCTGCACACATATCTTTACACCATGTCCATACATCTATGTCTTTCTTTAATTTATCAACGTTTGCTGCTTTGTCTGTATCCCTCTTTATTCTGATATTCTCTTCTGATTCTTTCAGTTAAATTTCTTTGATTAAATAATTTTATGATTTCTTTATAATTAAAATTACTTTTTAATTACTTTATAATTAATTACTTTTAATTATAAACAAATTCATTGTCAACACAGTAAAAACTGAATACAGGATATTGATTATGATTGCGAACCTCAGTTTTTTGTACTAGGAAATAATTTCCAGAGTCAAAAATGTTTTTAACTTTTTTTAAATTAAAGAGATCTAATAGTACAGAGATTCCATGTTACCTCTAAAGCCTAAGCTAACTTCAAGCCTTTTACTGCATAGTTAAGGATCATTCTCAGTGGAAAATGTCACATACCGAACTGGATTTCTGTACTTCCAGTGGCATAGGTTATATTGTTTAGCTAGGACTGCCATCACAAAATACCACAAATCTATTGGCCTGAACAAGGTGTTTATCTAACACTTCTGAAGGCTAAAATCTAAGCTCAAGGTGAAGGCAGGTTTAGATTTCCTAGACAGGCTGGCAGGTGTCTGTCATCTTTCTGTTTGCTCACATTGTGTGCCTGTTGCTCGTATCTGGTTCTAGTCTCTTCTTTTAAAAGGGTATCAGTTTTGTCAGACTAGAGTCCACACCAAGGACCTCATATTAACTTAATAACCTTTTGTGTGTGTGTGGTGGTGGTGGTGGTAATGGCTAGTATTATTTGTAACCTTGGCAGAGTCTAGAATCATGTGGGGGCTGAGTCCCTCAACCTCGCTGTGGGGGGTTATTATCTTGATTGTGTTGAGGTCGGGCAGCCTACCCATTGTAGGTGGTACCATTTCCTGCCAGGGGTACTTAACAGCAATACACATTCCCATCTTTCTCTGCTTCCTGCTTGTGCCTATGGTGGTTTTTCCCACCATGATGGACTATATTTGAACTGTGAGCCAAAATGAGCCTTTCTGCCTTAAGTTGTTTTGTTAGGGTATTTTATCACAGCAACAGGAAAAGAAACAAGACAGTGGTGTTAGAGATTGACCCCAGGGCCTCGTGCCTGAAAGGCAAGCACTCTGAGCTATATCCGTGGCCTAATTATCTCTAAAGCCTTCTGTCTAGACATACTCATATTCTGAGGCATTGTGGATTTAAGATTTAAACATACAATTTTGTTTGTTTTTTTGACACAGGGTTTCTCTGTGTAGCCTTGGCTGTCCTGGACTTGCTTTGTTGACCAGGCTGGCCTCAAACTCACAGCGGTCTGCCTGCCTCTGCCTTCCTGAGTGCTGGGAATCAAAGGCGTGTGCCACCGCACCTGCCTTCAACATATCAATTCTTAAGGGACACATTCAGCTCTTATAAAGTCTATATTTATTTTACTTACAATTTGTACCAGTTGCTTTCTCATAGCTGTGACCTAAATACCTTAGAAAAGAAGCTTCAAGGAGGGAAGGATTTATTTTTGGCTCAGGGTTTCTGAGGGCTAAACCCATGGTTGGTGGTCTGGCTGCTCTGTTACCTTGGGTCTGAAGTAGGACTGAATAGTGTGGTGGCGGCCTTATTGTGGGGTGTAGTAGGAAGACAAGGACAGGGACATCCACGCATTAGGGTGAAGGGAGAGAAGCCCAAGGACAGGGTCAGTTAGGTCTAGCCTCCTGATGTTCCCAGAGCCTCTCACCACCTGTGCCACCAGCTGTGAGGACACTTCATACTCAACATGACTTTACTATGTTTCTCTGTGTTTGGCCTTCTTCTTGCCAATCTGTGTTTCTTTTGTAGGAGCTTATCAGCTCTTACCACCGCGTCTGCCTATAACAATCGAGCTCAAGCCGAAATCAAATTACAGAGGTGGGAAAGTGCTCTTCAAGACTGTGAGAAAGCCTTGGAGCTGGAGCCTGGAAATGTGAAAGGTAAGCGACAGTGGGTATCTTGTCTCAGGCCCAGCAGCCGACCTGAGGTACTTTGTGATGCTGCTCCTTTCAAAGGGAGAAATGGCCATGGAGGACATAAATGCAGTCATTACCTGCAGTCATTCACAGATAATAGTCCTCTTCTAAGTGCACTACCTAATAACAGTAAAACAATAACAAAACCAAAACCCTGTAATTTTATTGGGTTGTCAGTATGTACAAACATAATATATTCTTTATGAGGCTAAAACTAAGTTATGCAATGAGAGAACTTTGTTTAATTTCTAATTGTGTTACAGTAGCATATTAAAGTGCATCTGATAAACCATTTCTTATATTTCAGAATTATTAAGCCTGTTTTTTTTTCTCAAGATATTGTGAAGTTCTCTCATGTAATGGACCAGAGGGCTAGAATGGTACATTGTTAGCATTAAATGATTATAAAATTATATATTGAAACAATAACAACAACAACAATAACAACAACAACAAGAAACTGGCACAAATTACCAAAGTATTGAGCTCCTGACACCACCACCCCCGACTGATGTAGTACTAGGACTACATCATGGTTCCATGTGCTGAGCTAACTTTGGATCATTTTAGTTTACTTTAGGTTTTGTTTAGTTTAGGGCTTTGTTTTTGTTTTTGTAGGGTCTTATGTATAACTCAGGCTGGTCCAAACTCTTGGTTCTCTTGCTTCACCCTTCTGAATGCTGGGATTTAGGCCTTTACCACAAGTGCCACGCCCAACTCTGATAATTTTAGAAATAGCTCTGTAGAGCTGGGTGATGTGACCTATTCCAGTACTTGGGAGGTGGAGGCAGGGTTTAAAAGTTCAAGACCGTGAGTTCAAGACCAGCCTATGCTATGAGACCCTGTCTTAAAAACCTGAACCAAATCAAGCCAAACAAAAACAACCCTCCCCACCCCAATGAAAACACAAGTAACTGTCCAAATGAAGTTCACTAATGTACTGTACCCATGCTCTGCCAATCTCCACAAGGAATCTCCTCAGTTTGCAGAAGACGATGAACTAGAGTAGTGGTGACTAAAGGTGCCAAGTGTGCAGTGAAAAGCTTCCTGGTACTGCAGCACAGTCACGGCATGGGAAAGGGTGAGGGACAGGAGCTGGCCAGACCAGGGCTGTGAGAGGGCCAGGGTCCTAAGAGGCCATTGGAGCTGCTGAGGGAGGGCCAGTGACCCGTGTGAATTACTTTTCTATGCTATGGCAAAACAGCCATGACCAAGGCAAGTTAACACAGAAAGAGTGTGTTTCAGTTTATGGTTCCAGGGAGAAGAGTCTGTCATGGTAGGGAGGCATGACAGGAGGAGCAGACTACCGAGAGAGCTCACATCTTTAACACAAGTGCTAGAGAGAGCCAGTGGGAAGTAGGGTGAGGCTCTTTTCCCTCAAAGCTGGCTCCTACTGTCTTGCATCCTCCAAGAAGGCTGTACCTCCTAAACTTCCCCAAATAACCCCACCAACTGGAACCAAGTTTCAAATACCAATGTCCTTGGGTGCTAGAGAATAGATTGGACCAAAGCATAACATGCGTGTATAGAAGTATCAAGGAATTTAAAAATCAGTCTGGTACCCAATGAGGCCCCTTCTGCAAGCAGCAGGGTCATTTTCTATGCGCTCCACAGCATGGACCCAGGGATTCAAGCTCCACGTGCTAGTGTCCTGTGCTGCTTATACTTTCCTTCTTGCAAAAAGCCATCGTGCTATATGTTAAACTGTGGAGCATTCATTTTGATGCATTTTCAGCTCTCCTGAGACGTGCTACTACATATAAACATCAAAACAAGCTCCAGGAGGCTGTGGATGATCTGAAACGAGTCCTGCAGGTAGAGCCTGATAATGATTTGGCCAAGGTAAGTATTGAAAATGATTTTTGTTTGTTTGTTTGTTTGTTTGTTCTTCAGGACAGGGTTTCCCTGTGTAACCTTGGCTGTCCTGGACTCACTTTGTAGACCAGGGCTGGCCTCAAACTCACAGATTCATCCACCTACCTCTGCCTCCAAAATGCTGGGATTACAGGTGTGTGCCTCTGTGCCCATCAGGAAAATTATTTTTTTAACCTAATTCTGTAATTTTCTGTTTCTGGTTTTATTTGTTATTTCTAGTTGTCCTGGAGCTCCCCACATAGACCAGACTGGCAGTGAATTCACAGAAATTCATTTGCCTCTGCCTCCCGAGTGCCCAGCTCTTTCTGGATATATGTTAAAAGTGGCATCAGTCTTGCTGAATAAATCATGTTGCAGGTGAATGCACAGTTTGTGGAGTTTAAAAGCTCTAAACTGTTGACATCTACCTGAGATGGGAGAAAGCAAATTATTAAGTGAAGTGTGTGTAGGGTTAGGGTAGCTCAGTGGAACAGAGCTTTCCTCGATTGCACAGGATCCTGGGTTCAGCTACCAGCACGGTCCCTGTCACCACTACCACAAAACAACATTTAACAAGAAAGAAAAAGTTACGCAGAAATAGAAAGCTGCCACTGAACAACAGTTTTCTCTCTTCTGTACTGATGGAGTCAGTGCTTTTCTCTGAGATAATCTCAATTTATTATGTGGAGTACATAGAAGATTATAAGTGAGCCCCAAGGCCACAGACAAGAGTTGGTAGCACTGCTTCCTTAACTGAGTGGACTGGTACAGCTCTTCGCTTCTGACCTAAGGCCTAAAGAATAGCTGTGAAGCACCAGGAAAGATATGAGAACTTATGTCCTTGTTTTTGGTTTTTGAAGATAGGGTTTCTCTGTGGAGCCCCAGCTGTCCTGGAACTTTGTAGACCAGCATGGCCTCAAACTCAGAGATCTGTCTGCTTCTGCCTCCTGGGTGCTAGGATTAAAGGTATGTTCAGAGAGAGAAGAGATGGAGAGAGAGACAGACAGAGAGAAAGGGAGAGAGAGAGAGAGAGAGAGAGAGAGCACCTACATTTTGTCTACAATCAGCAGACTGGAAGATGGAAACCTCAAAGCCCACCCCTAGTGATAAACCTTCTCCAGTAAGGCCACACCTCCTAATCCTTCCCAAAACAGATCCACCAATAAGGGACCAAGCATTCACATACGAGCTTGTCAATTCTCAGTCAAACCATCACAGTATCCTAGGATACACAGAAGGGGCTTTTACTCACGGTAGACAAGTTCTTCTTGTTCCCAAGTCCCACACTGATTATACAGAGTAACCCGTATGAGTGCTGACTGCTAAGTGGGTTTGAGTGATGACTGAAGAATCCAAACTTTAGGATACCAACTCCCTACACACACACACACGCATGCACGCGCACACACACACACACCAGGAATGTTAATTTTTAGAGCCTGAAGACATGATTCAGCAGTAGTAGTTAAGGGCAAAGGATCCAAGTTTGGTTCTTAGGACCCATATCAGCCTACAACTGCCTGTAACTCCAGATACAGGGGAACAACAACCTCTTCTAATCTCTACAGACACTAACATGCATGTAGCATATACTTACACAAGTACAATAATTTTAAATATTTAATGGGAAGGGTCTATATACATGTTTTTCTTTGTAGATGGCATACAGTATGTCAGAATTTTTTTTTCTTTTTCTTTTTTAATATGCCAGGACTTTGAACACTATCTTTCACTTCATCTGTGGGTATTTCATCTGTATAAACTGCTCATGTCTATTAGTGTGTGTGCACAGAAACATCTGGAAGCCTATCAGAAGTCAGCAGTGTTAAGTGAATGGGTAGAGTTTGGGTGACTTGTTTTTCTTCTTTTTAAATGAATTGTTTTTATATTGAATGTTTTACATGCATGACTGTTTGCCACACACATGCTTTATGCCTGAGAAGCCATGAGAGGGTACCAGATTTCTGAGAACTGAAGTTACACATGGTTGTAAGCTGCTGTATGGGTGCTGGGAATTGAACCCCGGTCCTCTGCGAGAGCAGTCAGTGCTCTTGATCTCTGAGCTGTCCCTTCAGCCTGCTTTGCTTCTATTTTATTGTTCTATTTTATTGCTTCTATTTTATTCTATTGGGTTGTTATTCACTGACCAATTATTTGTTGTCATATTTTATACTGTGCATAAGTCATTTTAATTGGGTAAAACAGTGAAATTATTGTAAAAAGGAAACTAGACTGAGTTTTAAAGCCTTTTTGTTTATTCATTTTAAAATAGCTTCATATTCTTACCAGAATAATGATTGTATTTTTATTAAAAGAAAAACATTTAATTATGTTGCAGAAAACCTTGTCAGAGATTGAAAGAGATCTGAAGAGTTCAGAGCCTACCTCTGAGCTCCAAACCAAAGGGAAAAAGATGGTTATCGAAGAAGTTGAAAACTCGGGAGATGAAGGTGAAAAGGAAATCAGAAATAAATGTGAAGATGGTGGTGTGGATAAGGGTGAGGCATCTTTCCATTCTGATTATGCAAATTGCTGTTTCCATCTTGACATTGCTTTATGGAGGGAGGAGGGGTCGCAGGCTCTGTTGCTATAGAAATTGTTAGCTTCCCAAACTTTGCTGTAGCTTCATCTAAAGTTTACAGTCAAGTTTAGCCCTGCTTTTTTTTTTTTTAATGTTTACATTTAATTATTTTGTGTGCTAGATAGGGACACATGTAGCACATGTGTTGGGGACAGAGGACAAGCTTATAGAGGCCAATTCTCTCTTCGCAGTACATGAATTCTGAGATTAAATTTAGGGTGTCAGACTTGATACCAAGCACCTTTACCTGCTAGCCAGACTAATATCACCACCACCACCACCACCACCATCATCATCATCATTATCTGGGGTCTCACTATGAAGCCCTGGCTATTCTGAAGCTCACAAAGATTCACCTGTGTGTACCTCCAAAGTGCTGGGATTAAAGGCCATGCCTGGCTATCATCTTTTCTTAGTGCGGTTTACTTTTGTATTAGTCAGGGTTCTCTAGAGTGTTGTAGTAAATTTTAAAAAAGGTTTTGGGCTATATATTATTTATTAGCCCTAATGTTATTTAACTCACTATCACAAACAATGAAACACAGACACCTGTTAGATTTATAATCGCCTTATTTACCTTGGGGTGGGCAGATATTTCACTTGCATTGTCTCGATATCTTCACCATCCATCTCCCAGCCCCCATCCAATGCCATCCACCTTAATCCTCCTCAATTGGACTTTCCTTCATCCATAATCCCATGGTACTTGCTTATATTCTCCATCTGGGCCTTTTCACGCTGTTATTAGAGTCCTTCCTCAGCCCACATGATGTTTTCCCCAGGCTAACCCATCCTGGCGTTCTCCTCCTTCCTCTCTTCCCATCTGTCGGTCTCACTGGTGATTCTTCCTGGGATTCTCCAAAGCTCAGGAACCTTAGCCACGCCCACCCCATTCTGCTCTGCCATGGTACAGGCTGGTTAATTTAGCAAATCAGGTGTAATGACTTAGGCAGGTTTACACAGAGAACAAGTAATTATCAGCAGACCAACCTTTAACACTAGAGTAACAAAATGTATAGAATGAATCTTTATATATAGAAAATGGATTTATTAGAATAACTTACAGGCTGGGGTCAAGCTAACTCAATAATGGCTTCCTGTGAATGAAAGATCCAAGAATCCATGAGTCTGGATGCCTCAGCTGGTGTTCAGTATATGCTAGAATTCGGAAGATGTGGGCTCTAATGCCATTGAAGGAAAGGACTTTCTAACAAGGTGAGGGCATGCAGGCAAAGGGCAAAAGCTTCCTGCTTCCATGTCCTAATGTGGGCTGCCAGCAAAAGGCGTGGCCAAGATTAAAGACCTGAAAAGATCTGGATTCAAGGTGTGTCTTCCCACCTCAAAAATTAAAAGTAATCTTTCCACTTCAAATTAAGCAAAAATCTGTCACTGGTATGCCCCATTTGGGGGTCTTAGTTAATTCCAGATGTAGTCAAATTGACAACCAAGAATAGCCATCACAATACAATCTCCAAAATTCACCTTTTTCTTGTCAACCCTTTACTCTACTTGTGGCTGTGTCTACATGGCACTAGCCATTTGCAGGTTAACTTTAAATCTGCTTTTGCCTCCTGAGCCTGGGATTACATGCATGCACTACCATGCCCAGTGTTCTGCTAATGTTTAAATGGGTCTTCTTACCCAATTACATGTAGTTGAAAGTTACCTTGCACTTCAGACCCTCCTCACCCCACCTCTGAAGTGATGGGTCGCTTCAGGTGTGCTACCAAGCCTGTTTCTTACCCAAGTCTTATCTATAAGTAAGTATTTTCCCCTTCCATAATTGCTGCTTTTAATTTTTCTAGCAATGTCTTTTACAGCAATTTTGTTGAAGTTAAAGTTATTCAATTTTAATAACATAAATTATGTTGTCAATGTTATAACTGCTGCCTAGGCCAAAATCATGAAGATTTTTTCTTCCATGTTTCCTTTTCAAAGTTTTTGTTACTGCTTTTATTGTTGAGACAAGGTTTCACTGTGTAGCCTTGGGTGGCCTGGAACTCTCTAAGCTCACAGATACCTGCCTGTCTCTGCTCCCACCTCCCTCCAAGCACTGGGATTAAAAGTATGCACCACCACACCTGCTCCCTTTTCAAAATTTCATACTTTCAGCTTCTGAATTTTCCAAACTACTTGTTGGAAATTGTCTTCACTCATTTGAATTAACTTTACTTTGTATCAAAGAATTAGTTGGTCCTTGTGTGGTCAGTAGAGTTGTGGTGGTGTTCTGTTGTACTGACTCCCCTGTTTGTCCTTTCTGTGATGCATTGTCCTTAACATAGCTTCACAGTCAACTCCTCAAACCAAGGCCTGCTGCCCTGTGCACTCTGTCCTGCTTTATGAAACCGTGTGGCCTTCTGTTCCTTCACCAGCACGTGTATTGTGGTGGGCTTTTTCTTTTTTATGTGCTATTGTTTTTAGACAGGGTCTTACTCTTTAGTCTAGCCTGGCCCAGAATTCATGGCGATCCTCCTGCCTCACCTTCCTAAGGGCTGGGATTACAGACATGAGCCACTCTCTCCAGCATTCATCCCATTTCTCAGTATTGATGACTCTGAATTCATGATGTTCTTGCCTCTATCTCCAACTTTTGGGATTGCAGAAATGTGCCATGGTGCATGAGGATTTTTCGTTATTGCAGGATAGCTTTGTTTGTTTGTTTTATTTTATTTTTGAGACAGCGTTTCTCTGTGTAGCAGCCCTGGCTGCTCTGGACTTGCTTTGTAAGACCAGGCTGTCCTCAAACTCACATGAATCTGCCTGCCTCTGCTCCCTGAGCATTTGCTCCCTGAGTGCTGGGATTCCAGGCATGTGCCACCATGCCCGGCTTGCAGGATAGCTTTTTAACTTTATTTCTGAAGGAAATTTTTGGTGGCTATGGGTTTCTTTTTGTATTTTTTATTTAGTACAATTTATTCACTTTGTATTCCAGCTGTAGCCCCCTCCCTCATATGGATTTTGTAAAGGTAGACAGTTTTTAGATTTGCCAGTGAGAAAAACAGAATGATGTTGATCTGTTGGTCTTTTTGTTTGTTTTGTTTTGTTTTGTTTTTAAATCTTTTATTTATTTTTATTAATTACACTTTATTCATTTTGTATCCCCCCATGAGCCCCTCCCTCCTCCCCTGCCGATCCCACCCTCCCTCCCCTTTTTGCATGCATGCCACTCCCCAAGTCCACTGATAGGGGAGGTCCTCCTCTCCTTCTTTCTGATCTTAGTCTATCAGTTCTCATCAAAAGTGGCTGCATTGTCCTCTACTGTGGCCTGGTGAGGCTGCTCCCCCCTCAGGGGGAAGTGATCAACGAGCAGGCCAATCAGATTATGTCAGAGGCAGTCCCTCTTCCCATTACTATGGAACCCACTTGGACACTGAACTGCCATGGGCTACACCTGTGCAGGGGTTCCAGGTCATCTCCACAAATAGTCCTTGGTTGGAGTATGAGTCTCTGGGAAGTTCCCTGTGTTCAAATTATCTTGTTCTGTTGCTCTGCTTGTGGAGTTCCCGTTCCCTCCAGCTCTTACTATTTCCCACTTCTTACATAAAACTCCATTCACTCTGCCCATCAGTTGGCCATCAGGCTCAGCATCTGCTTTGACAATCTATACTGCAGAAGCTTTCAGAGGCCCTCTGTGGCAGGTTTCAAGGTTGTTTCCTGTTTTCTTCTGGCTTTCAGAGGCCCTCTGTAGCGGGTTCCGAGGTTGTTTCCTATTTTCGTTTTCTTCTGATGTACATCCTCTTTGCCTTTCAGGATGGGGATTGAACATTTTAGTTAGGGTCCTCTCCTTTGCTTAGTTTGTTTAGATGTACAGCTTTTAGTGGGTTTATTCTATATTGTATGTTTATATGAGTGAGTATATACCGTGAGTGTCTTTTTGCTTCTGGGTCAACTCACTCAGGATGATCCTTTCCAGGTCCCACCATTTACCTGCAAATTTCATGATTTCCTTATTTTTCATTGCTGAGTAATACTCCATTGTATAGATGTACCACAGTTTCTGCATCCATTCTTCAGTTGAGGGGCATCTGGGTTGTTTCCAGCTTCTGGCTATTACAAATAAAGCTGCTACAAACATGGTTGAACAAATGTCCTTGTTGTGTACTTGTGCCTCTTTTGGGTATATGCCTAGGAGTGGTATGGCTGGATCTTGAGGAAGCGCTATTCCTAGTTGTCTGAGAAAGCGCCAGATTGATTTCCAGAGTGGTTGTACCAGTTTACATTCCCACCAGCAGTGGAGAAGGGTTCCCCTTTCTCCACAACCTCTCCAGCATGTGTTGTCCCTTGAGATTTTCATCTTGGCCATTCTGATGGGTGTAAGGTGAAATCTCAGGGTTGTTTTGATTTGCATTTCCCTAATGGCTAATGAGGTTGAGCATTTCTTTAAGTGCTTCTCTGCCATTCGATATTCCTCTGCAGAGAATTCTCTCTTTAGCTCTGTTCCCCATTTTTTAAGTGGATTACTTGGTTTGTTGCTTTTCAGCTTGTTTAGTTCTTTATATATATTGGATATGAGTCCTCTGTCAGATAGAGGGTTGGTGATGATTCTTTCCCAATCTGTAGGCAGTCGCTTTGTTTTGATGACGGTGTCCTTTGCTTTACAGAAGCTTTTCAATTTCATGAGGTCCCATTTATTGATTGTTGCTCTTAGAGCCTGTGCTGTTGGTGTTCTGTTCAGGAAGTTTTCTCCTGTACCAATGAGTTCTAGGGTATTCCCCACTTTTTTTTCTAGCCGATTTAATGTGTCTGGTTTTATGTTGAGGTCTTTGATCCACTTGGACTTCAGTTTTGTGCAGGGTGATAAGTATGGATCTATTTGCATTTTTCTACATGTAGACATCCAGTTGGACCAGCACCATTTGTTAAAGATGCTATCTTTTTTCCATTGTATGGTTTTGGCATCTTTGTCAAAAATCAGGT